ATTAATTTGAATCTATCAAATTAATTAAGATACATTTGTAAGTTTTGATAGTATACATTTGGGAGATTTTTCATAATGAGAGACCTTATATAGGACTTTCCTAGGTTTTGTGTGTATTCAGAAATTGCGGTCAATACTGCGTGAATATTGTCAGATCGAAAATCCAAACCGATAACAATCATAATAACAACTGATTTTATTCTAAATGCTGCTGACTTAGAATGAAATTTTGCGGATTTAAAGAATGGCATCATTGTCATCATTCCCATTTTCGAAACTTCAAAAATAAACTTTTTTTCATATATAACTACAACCTGGAGGTTAATACGAGTCAAAAGTTTGAGATATTCCTGACATTTTTCTTCTCAGAAAACTTGTTGTCACTATATAAGTATATCATTAATGATTTCAAAGCAAGTCGCCCACGGGTACCGTGCGCAATTTTCCCGCCAGTCAGCTACTTGACAGCCCGATAACAAGTTGACAACCTGTTGAACATGGTGATTCTATTAGACATTTCGTTTTGACAAATGCGGTGTTTTCTGCGAAAGGGAAAGTAAATTGTTCATAACAAGAATAATAAGGAAAAGACTGAACACATAAAATCCCTTTATATAAGTTCTAAAAATCTAAGGAATAATTATGATTTTCATTAAATGATTTGGCAATCCTTGAAGAGTTGGATAAGTACATAGACATAATGGAATAGTCAAATAAAATTACTAACGATAAAAATAAGAATATTCATAGTTAACTAAAATCTACTGTAGATAGAATCCTATTATATACCGTATCGGTCATAATTATGTGGATATTTATTCCGTGCAGCAGTTGAAGGTTACGCGCTAAATTGAGTGTTAAAAAAACAAAAGACGAGTGTGATAATAACAGGGTAGCTAAACGATTGTGTGTGGAATATGGTGACTGGCCTAATCCCCCAGTCGACTGGGATGGCGCGCCCCTCTCGAGTACTTATGTAAACAACCTGTCTCCCGTGGCGAACTGTCCTTTTGTTCACTAGTTTTCAGTATCAGCAGCTAGCTGTTGGTTAAATCTGTGTCAGCTGTTATTTCATTTGGTCAACAATTGAACAAAATATTTGTTTGTGCATGGTCTATATTTCACCCTATGATTCAACCTTCACTCTTTGTATGTCAAAAAGAATTGTAAATTTTATACATACAGTATTTATAAAAAATTAATAAATTCAGAAAAGGGAAAATAACTTGGCAGAAAATCCAGTCTTTTACATTTTCATAAGGTAAAAGTTACAATAAAACCAAAACTAAATTTTTGAAATCTCCGTAATAATTTACGCTTAGCATTATCGCAATATGCACGTAGTAGTCAAATGAAGGATGAACAAATAATAATAGTAACAAAGTGTTTTTAGAACAAATATCGATCTTGTGAATAAGCTTATTACAAGTAGCCTCACTTAATGCAAATCACATGTACTGGAAAACGAACAAAAGAATGACACTAGTCTTATCAGAAAGTTACTTGGTCTAAAGAAGCACATGTTTTGGTCTATTTGAGATCTTTTAACGTTAGGGTGGCGGCAAAGAACTTATAAAAGGGTTAAAAAAACAGATGCCTCCCCTCAATTACAATCTAAATGAAAACAGATTAAATTACTTGCTTGACGCCTGATAGTTTCAGATAATTGTGGGGAGGGGGTACAGTGGCGGATCCAGGATTATTTGAAGGGGGTAGGATCCGGAAGCTGAACATGGCCCCCTTAGTGTGGGGTTCAGGGCCTGCTCAAGGGCCCCGAAAATTTTTTGGTGATTTGGAGAGCAAACAGTGCCCTTTGGTACGGCTTAGAACTATGATTTAGCTATTAAAAATCTGATTTAAGAGGGGAATATTGGTCTGATGTATTTTTCAGACACCGAAGGGAGGGGCGCAGCACCCCCTGACGCCCCCCCCTTAATCCGCCACTGGGGTATATAACCAAAAACGTTATGGTAACGTTATAATTGCGTTCTGTGTTTGCTGGGTAGGACTATGAAATCACCACTAAATTTTATCTTATAACAACAAGAGATTTATTTTATACTTGTATAAATATCACAAAACATTATTATGTTATATATTAGATATTACATGTAGCAGCCAAAATCGATAACCGCGGGATAGATCTGGGGGTATACGTATTTCATCACCTCTCCTAGATATTTATTCATTTATTCATTTTTTTTAAAATGACATTTAGGTAAAAGCTTTAAATTCCTTTAAAAAGAACATTCGCGTCCTAGGATTTTTATGTCTAAAAGTTTGAAATTACAGACTTATTTAGCAGCCTCACCACTGATTTTGATAGGATCTTTATAGCTTTAAATTTATTCCTTTTATTGGCATCAGCCCGCACTCCGGTGCAGTAGGTCTTCTAGTTTGAAATTTTGTGCAATATAGGTCTAAATCATAGGTTAAATCGTCTAAAAACTGGTCATAATAATGAAAAAACGTGACTCATTGCATAACGTTCGTACATGTAGTTCATTACGACTTACATGTAGTTGTTAGGTGCGAACTACGCCCTGGTTTTAAAAAGGTTCCTTTAAAAAATTTCAACACCATTTTGATTGTAGCACATAACATAAAAATGACAAAAATAATTGGATATGGGCATATAACATTGTTTACATTCGAAAAATGCAAGAGACAACGTTTTATACAGCCTGGCAAGAAACTATTTTTCGAAATGTACTCGTTCGTGCTGTCGATCGATGCAAGGAGTTATAACAGACTCCTTGATTGATGCAGCAACTTACTTGAAAACAAGCTGACTGAAAATAGCGAGTTTTACACATTCATGCGAAGTCTATGCGCCTTCATATTATATACCCCTTATTTCTACTAGTATTTCAATTCACCCAAAGAAACATATATCTTATCTTACCATGCCGTTTGAAAATCCACTTGTTCTTCGCTCACAGGCCTCAGCTTACATCTTCATGTACGTCCAGCTTAAAATGATCAATCAGCTGAACTTTCATAACATTTTAACGTCGCAACTTCCAGCACAATCTTACACAAACGAAATATCAAGAATCATGGAAGATGATTACCAGCATTTCGAAGCTGAGACCAGTTTGATTGCTACTTGAACAACCCTTTGGAAACCTTTGACAGCCTTTCTGGAAATCGCACCTAAGTCACGCAGACATTGGTGAATAGCAGTATTATGTTTTGTCATCTGCGGTGATTTCTTTGAAAAGGACAGAGATTTGTTAACATGCAGTTACACTATAAAAGAAGAATAAAAAAGAACACTTAAAAACTTCATTACTCATAATTTAAAAACCTAAAGAATTATTATTATTATTATTATTATTATTATTATTATTATTTCTGGACCAAAGATGGTTCAAAGGATGGAAACAGTAGCGACCAATACTGCGTGAATATTGTCAGATCCAAAATCCAAACCGATAACAATCATAGTAACAACTGATTTTATTCTAAATTCTGCTGACTTAGAATGAGATTTTGCAGATGTAAAGAATGGCATCATTGTCATCATTCCCATTTTCGAAACTTCAAGAAAACTTCTTTTTCATAGGTAACTACAAGCTGGTGGTTAACACGAGTCAAAAGTTTGAGATACCTGTATTCCCGATATTTTTCTTCTCAGAAAACTTGTTGTCACTATATAAGTATATCATTAATGATTTCAAAGCAAGTCGCCCACGGGTACCGTGCGCAATTTTTCCGCCAGTCAGCTACTTGACAGCCCGATAACAAGTTGACAACCTGTTGAACATGGTGATTCTATTAGACATTAAGTTTTGACAAATGTGCTGTTTTCTGCGAAAAGGAAAGAAAATTGTTCATAACAAGAATAATTAGGATAAGACCGAACGCTTAAAATCCCTTTATATCATTTCTAAAAATCTAAGAAATAATCATGATTTTAATTAAATGATTTGGCAATCCTTGAAGAGTTGGATAAGTATACACAGACATAATGGAATAGTCAAATAAAGTTATTAACGATAAAAATAAGAATATTCATAGTTAGATTTATAGATAGAATCCTATTGTATACCGTATAGGTCATAATTATGTGTAAATTTATTTCATGTACCAGTTGAAGGTTACACACGGTAGGGTCCGGAACGACGGGCCTCCGATGCCAAGCTGACCATCGCCCCTTAAGTGTGGTGTTCGGGGCCTGCTCAAGGGCCCAGAAATTTGTTTGGTGATTTGGAGTGCAAACAGTGCCCTTTGGTACGGCTTAAAATGTTTTAGCTATTTAAAACAATGTTTAAGAGGGGAATATTGGTGTGATATATTTTTCAGAAACCGAAGAGGGGGAGGCCACCTTTACAAAATCATTTTTTATACAACAGCAACATGTATATTTATAAGCACAATTAATTTCATTGCATTGTCTTATTTAATCGACAGATCACGTTAATTTTCATTTCATGCTTGTATGAATATGACAATAAAGGATTATCTTATAAGTTAGATATACATATAGCAGACAAAGTCGATATCCGCGGGATGGAGCTGGGGGTATTTCATCACCTCTCCGAGATATTTATTCGTTTATTCCTTTGAATGACATTTAAAAGTCACCTTAGCCTCATTCACAACCTGTTGATCCGCAGGCTAACAGATGGATTCATTAACCATTGGTAAGCACAGGGAAATCCAGGGAAATCCGTTTTTTTCTTTTTCCAAAACGAACAGATGTTATCTCTCAAACCCCCTTTACACTGAACGGCGTCATTTCTGCGTCCTTTGTGCGACCATGAAACTGTCATCACTGTGGCCGTAGAGAAGAGACGCAAGCATCTTCGCTTTGGTTGCAAAATGGATGCTCAATGATCGGTCAGTTGTCGGCACGTAAATTCTTTTTATTTTTTAATCTCAAACGGGGCCGCACTTTCGGACGCATAGAGGACGTCGTCCAGTGTAAAGTTGGCTAAAGTATATAGAGCCAGCGTGCGCATCAATTTGAATGTTATTCATCTATTCACCATGCCTTAGGTCTTCACGTGTGTGTCAGCGGCAAAAGGCTTGCCTTCTTGTACCAGCCTGGCGTTAAAGACATTACTTTTTAATTGGTTCATATTCAACATGCGTCTGTAGATTTTTCTTGTGAAGGGGAGTTGGGTCGTTGCCATAAGGACACAGTTGACGTCGCTGGCCATCTCTGGGGTCAGCTCGTACCCAAGAACCATGGTCTCATAGGGCCTAAATTCTTTATTTGTAATATTCCCGTAAGATGCAAGTTTACTGATACACCGTTTCTCCCAATATTGTTTTTCAAGGTCAAACTGTTTCAGTTCTCTCTGCATCCTGTCTACACCAAACGTGTGGACTCTTCTCCAGAATGTTTTATTAAAGTGGTCATAGAGTTTTATGTCGCCACCGTGTGTTATTTGAATGTTCCTTGTTCTGTTCAAAGTTATTATCTCTGTTTTGTCGCCGGTCTTCTTGCGCGAATTTTGTCGGAAGTAAACTATGTCATGAAAGGACCAGTTAAGCAAATCTTTCAGTAATATCAGTGACTCATCAAAATATTCTGCTATCATAACTAAAGAAAATACTTCGTCTATCTCCAGAATTCTATCATAAACTTTGGTCTGATTCAACGAGTCTATTGGATCAAGCCCTAGGTCGAACAACATTGGATTCGTAAATGCTGTGTTTACTCCTCTGACGAATCCGTATTGGGAATAGTATTTGTGAGGAGCCTCTAAGAAAGTATCCATATCTACGTGTAGTCTCTGTGCAATTTTAAAAAAGGCAAACCAAGATTCAATCAGCTTTACTGGGTGTCGTAAAATAGTAATGAACACTGTCCCTATTGGTACCACGTCCATCATGGCGCTGCTGTAACGGGCGTGGTGGCACAGCATGTCGTAACGCCCAGTGGCCAGGGGGAGAGCATAACCGGGGAGAAACTTCTCGGGGTAGCCTAGCCTGTACAGGACGGGCGAGGCTCCTAGAGCGAATGTCAAGTTTCGCATTTCACCAAAGCGCATTAAAATGTTGAGCACCGTGCTGCCAGCAGTTTTGTGTGTCTTGAGAAACAGGACATTGGTCACCTTTGACGTTCTTTTTGCGTCCGGTATAGCTGCACTGGGTGGAGTTTGAGTGGAAGGAGTGACCACAGTTTCTGTGAAACCCCTGTCCTCTCTGTATGGACACTCTCGCCGTGGCGTTTTGCGGATTGCTACATCTCCAGACTCCATGTACTTCATATACACTAACAGCAGCAGAACACCAAGTGCCGACATCGCCATGATGTGGAAACCGTAAATGGCCATGGTGTTGCTTGCTAGACAAGTAAAATATAGAACATTATCGCTTTAAAAAGATAAGAGAACTGGATAGTAATACAATCTGACATTCAAACAAAATTCACTAGCCTCGTTTATAATTTGTATCATTTAGTGCATCAGGAATATCGCCAAGTAGTGAAGAGGGATACGAAAGAATGTTGGTAATATTATCAGTTAACTCAACGTAATTTCATCTTGGGAGTTCAACCCAAGAGGTGAATGAATTGAATAGATGTAGATGAAACTGATCGTTGATATGACGGAATGAATTTTCAGGTATAAGTAAGTGTAGATATTGTTCTAGAAGTAAGAAAGTATGGAACGTTTCAGAGTCAGAAATAGTTGGATCTGATTGGTAAAATTTTCTATCAATTTGCGCGTGTTTAACACGTGTAGAACTCATGCATACTCGAGTTGGACAAGATCCAAGATGAGTAATTCGGAAAATATTTTAAATATTTTAAATCATAACAAGTCTCATTTAAATTACTAAATTAGGAAATATTGAATAGAGTTTTGTAATATGAGAATGGGAAACTCTTTGGGAAAATAGAATATAAATACTTGTGGATTCTGTAAAAAAGAGAGTCAGTGAATAAACGTTCGAAAGCTCCAAACTGCTGTCGTCATTCCTCACTATAACAATATGAATTATATTGCAGAGACTGTTGCTTTGATTTTCATATGAAGCCGCCGTTCTGTGAAACAAAAAATCGCGTAAAATAGCGTAGAATGCTCTACAATACTGGCAATTCCATTGTATATTTGGTGTATACACAGTAGATACCAGAAGTTACCATGGAATATACAGGGTTATATATATGTATTTACTTCAGTATTCTGTAGAATACATGAATGTTTTGTAATATATATATATATATATATATATATATATATATATATATATATATATATATATATATATATATATATATATATATATGAGGTTGCGTATGTATGATTGTGGTTGTGTTGGTGTAGAGTAGTGTGTTCGTGCCTTTTCGTTTGTGTTCGTGCTTCTCCGTTTCTTTATATAACACGCCCCTCTTTCTTACGCGGCACATTCGTTTCTCGTTTCTGCCACGTCAACTTACAGGTGAGATAGACTTGATTGGTTTGCTTTTCATTTTCTTTTTATCAAGATTTTGTATTTGTTTTTGTATTGTATTTCTTTAAGTTATTTTGTTTGATATTTTCAGTGCTTGTCATTTCTTTTCATCCTTATTTTGTTTAGAACTTTAGTTTAATCATAGAAACAAATATCTTTAGTTCATGAATGTTGTTCACGTAAATTTCTCTATTTTAGTTCAGTTCTGCATTAAGTTCATTTTATTTATTTGTAAAGTATTAATTAGACATTCATTTCTCGTTTCTGCCACGTCAACTTACAGAGTAAACTCGGGTTCTTAATAAATTATCTTGGCTGACTCTATACCGTTACCGCACCGCTCATTCAAGCCTCCCGAACTGACTACGGCGGAGTTGACGTTTAATTCAAGATGAACCAGTTAACTGACACCAATGGTACAAAAAGCACCACGTACTAGAACAGATCAGGCGAACTGGATTTCTTGCACATTTTTTGTAACACAAACAGGCGGCCATCACATGGACAGAGAAAGAACCTGGGATTATATGCAAACAACACACGGTTACAGTGCGCTGCTGTAAAGTTTGTTACGTGTATTGTATCGTGCATCCTGTCCACGCGGTTTAAATTAGAATTTTTCAAGGTTCTGCACATGTTTGGAAAGGTCACACATTTTTTGTGCAAAGCTTGTTATATTTCCCAATTCCCAGTAATATATATATATATATAAACCGCTTCTACAAGATAGTGGTTTCATATATATAAAAAATATATACATGTATATAAAATCGAGATGCCGAGTCATAAACCAAACCGGGAAAAAAGAAGCAAATGAAGGAACTGCAATTCTGTATCAATGGCAATGGCGGGTCTTTCTGGAAATGTTTATAACAATGTGATCGGAACTGGCGTTAGTGGCATGGGTTCGAACTGTGGGTATGACAGCTGAATCAACGTAAACACTGCCGGTTGTAGCTCTGCTCTGGAGTACTCTAAGAACACTTTCACGTTAAATACCAAGCTGTCTGGCAATGTCGGTTTTGCTGTTGCCCGCTGAATTGAATGCAACCTGGTTCCTAGTACTAATGTAAAAAGATCTGGCATGTCTACAGTTATAGTTTAGTGGAGAACAGATCTCTACTCCTACAGACTATTTTATATCAAAGAAAAAACCCCACCTTTATAGCAAATATTTAGGGAGCATTCCTTTTTATGATATACCCCCTGTACCCCAAAACTACCTCTGTGGAGCAGTGAGCGACCATCTATTTTTTCTGACATACCTCAATACTGCCTCTATGTTGTACTGTTGAAGTATTCCAGTTTTCTGATATACCTCAGAACTGCCTCTGTGGAGCAGTGCTTGTGCATTCCTATTTTTCTGAAATACGTCAAAACTGCCTCTGTGGTGTACAGTTGAAGTATTACACTTTATCATTGTAATATTGGTGATGCTTCCAATGTGCGCCAGCGCAGTGCAGCAGAAGCACAATTAATGCTTTTTCTCTACCTTAATTAACGCGGTAGATATGGAAGCTAATTAGCATATTCGAAACATGTTCCTATCATGCTGCTAATCTACTGCATAAATGCTACATGTACTCTCTGTACAGCCATATGTGTGTTATATATATTGCATCTTTACAACAAACATGTCCCACTGCGCCACTATATATAATGCTATAATGCTACCTCGATAATACTGCATTTTCATTTATATATAGCTGCAACTTCTTCACTACTACCAACACACTGAACATGTGACAACTTTACTTTGGAGCTGCCTTGGGCCCGTATTTGATCTAGATAATGGCAGATGAACATTACTGTATGGAAGAAAGAAGACACGATACCAACACGCGTAGAGTTAAAAAAATCTTTAACATAAAACACACATTTTTTAGTGTGTGCTAGACATTTTTAGAAACAGCTTACATGCACTCATCGCAGGCATAATTTTAAACTTTCTTCTACATTTTTAGCCGTCTTATAATCTCATTAATTTCTCTAAACATGTGCTTCATAAAAAGTAAGCTTTAGCTGTTACTGCAGCCTTGTTCTGAGTGATGCCCCCGCCAGGTAGATGAGGAGCTGTAATAATTGCTTACTTACCCACGTAACAACACGGGTCAATTCGCCAACACAGAGAATCAAATATATTCAAAACTTATGGTGCAGACCTTACTAATACGCACACACTGTATAAAATTAATAGCGCCCACAGGAGAATTAAATTATTCATATAAGTAAAAACCGCATGTAATGAAGATATAGCTCATTGTGTAGGAAATGTATAGGGTGAGTGTAATTTTTGCAGAAGAAAAAGGCTATATCGTGCTTTTTTACCTACAAGCATGGGCACATTTGTAGGTAAAGGCATTTTAAGCGAATGTATAAGGGCATGTATACAAATTTCAATATATCAAATATTGATTTTATTGCAAGTTAACCATCATTATACTTTCAGCGGACCACTTGTGTTCAATTGCAACCACTTGAAGATAGATATGTGAAATTTGGAAGTGTGGTCAACACATTCCTACTTGAATGTTCTACATTCTTCGTAAAATAGCAAGAATCATGTGTCCTTTATGCAATGTCTAAACTGAAACAGCTTTACTTTTGTTAAACTAACATTCGTAGTTTTCAACTTACAATAGATTTTCAGTAAGATGGATTCCCATTTAAGGTATTTGCTTAATGGTGTTCATGTTGTAGACTCCCCCTTTTTAAGGAAAATAACTAATATTGTTTAAAATCCTTCAATTCAAATCATGTGAAAAGACTCGCAACCACTATATATATATATATATATATATATATATATATATATATATATATATATATATATATATATATAGATAGATAGATAGATAGATAGATAGATAGATAGTATATATTTAATCTTTCATTAATCACAAGGGCCATTTCGAAATGAAATGCATTGTCTCAACTACTGCATTTAGATAGGTTGAACTCCACGCAGTGCACCTACTGCAATTTAATATCCGTGCCGTGCTTTTTTAACTTGTTATAATATTACCAGTTTTATACCAGATTTATAAATAAACTCATAAATAAATAAAAGAGTGGAGAAAATCCTCTTCTTAATAGTTTATAAAGCTCGCTGTCTAGGTCAGTTAATATTCAGCAAGGTTAAACATGGATGGTGACAACGATATCGAAATGCTAAAACTATATCTTTCATTCTTGATGGAGGAACGTATATGATCAAGATTCTACGGCCAGGAATTGAGTATTTGTGCATGCGTTTGCTTGAGTGTGAATGCGTGTATGTACGCGCGCTTGTTCGGGGAAGGGGAGTGATGACAAATCGCCTTGATCTGATTTCACCGTATGTACGATGGTGAACCTACACGCTGTTTTTAATGACATAAATTTTGCTGCAAAGATGGGAAGGCGGTTTAGATATAAACGAGACACAGGTGTGCTTTTACGTGTGTCGAATCCAGCAAAGTTCCTCCTTAATTCTGTAGATAGGTTCGCGTGGACAAAGAGGCAAAGCCCCTTGAAGTCGAGAAAGATAATATATTTTCTACTTGCCTCCACACAAGAAACATTCGATTATGCTTCTGTTATAACAATTTTCATTCTCACGGAGACGCACAATACTTCAGTAGTGATTTTCGTAATGTTGCGTGTTCGCTGATTAACCCGCAGTGGTTTCACTTTACGGTTGGTGCGACCTCCCCCCCCCCCCCCCCCCCCCAGTTCATCATGTGGTTTTATTTTAACGTGGGTGGTCCTTTCTAAAAAGACGTATTGATCGATTTAATGCGTGTAAACATGCTCAAATAGGAAATGATAAGGGGTGCAATGTACCACTGATCTCCGGTGCGTCTACTTTTCCATTTGCTTTGACGCCTCATCTTCA